ATTCCAGCTGCATCCCAAGTCCTGAACAAGTTCTACATTACAATACCAGAATGCCTAAGGGATATGGACATGAAGAGCCAAGGCCTGTAAGTCCACACATCTGGATGCATGCAGTTCCCACTGGCAACAGTTGGCTCTGCTTGCCTTGTTAACAAGTCTACAGTGATTTTCACTTGACACTGAACTTCACACATTACTGAATGTTAGGGAAACAATCTAATCACTTGAGTGCCAGTGGCCTTCTTCAAGGCATTGACAGGTGAACATCTGCTGACCAGTAATCTAACTCCATAACACTGACTTGTAAAGTATCAACTAAGATTAGCAGTTTTTCCTTTCTGGGATTTTAGTTCTCTGTGCCTGGACTAAGTCAGTATCAAACAGAGTAGCAGGGCAGCTAACAATAGTATTTAGGAGAAAAACAATACTGAAATATCCTTGCTTGTAAAAAGGGGAAACCTAACAGCTTTATGTTTAAAAGAAATACATTTATCTTCACTCCTACTGCAAGGGCTACAAAAAACAAAGCCAAAGAGAAGCCCAAGCATCATTCATGCAAGAGAAACTACCATCTAGCAAGAAGTCTTTGCTACAGTGTATGTGCCACCCTGATGCGAGGCAGCATCAGACCTGGAAAGTCTACTCCATATAGACAGGGAGACTGTCGGAAGCACACCATACCGTCACACTGCTCTCCTCAAAGGAAAACACAACTCCTCTCACACTTACAAAATGAGCTACAGAGCTGCTCACCACAAAGAAGCAAATACTCTATGATTTTAAAAGCTTACACTGTCATCATACCAAGGGAATTTTCATCAACTTCTCTTGAGATTTGTAGCTAGGCCATGCTGAGAACACAATCAGCTCAAACACTACACACACAAGTTCCATCTGTGTTGGTAACTGAGGTCAGAATCCCTACGTTCAGGTGTTGAGACACTGGGTCAGATCTAAGTAAAAGTTTCATATCTGTAAGATTGGAGCAAGTCTTCAAAAGTGGAATTATCCTGATCCTTGTGTACACAAAAAGAACAAACTGCCAAACATGCTACCCGACACCCAACCAGTGAGAACTGTTTGAATTTAGTGACAAACACAACAGCAAGGCCACGCTCAGCGGGAATCAAGCCATGGTTTTGAGGAGAGTCTTACAGGAGGACGCTTTCAGGCATGGCAGAATATCATTCCCTACCAGCATGATGGCTGGATGTGCCACATCCAGTAACACTTCTTATATGCCTTAGACATCTTTTCCACCATCCAGAGAAACTGATATGGAGAATGCCACATAATATTTCTGTGGAACATTTATCAAGAGACCGTTGTAACTCAAGAAAGCTTAAAAGGGGATTTTCCTATATTCAGTTTTGAGGGAAACGGGAATTATTTTAACAACTTGACTACGAGATGATCAAACCTCTAGTACATGTCACTTAAGTGTTTCAAAGCCATACAGGTCACTCACTAAGTGATCATTTAAATAGTGAGCAAGAAGCCTTTGTGCTTAGTTTATGGACTAAAGTCTGAGTTAAATCCTGTTATTTCAAGCTAGCAACATGCAGTCATGCTAGGCTTTGCAAAGATGGTGGAGGAAAAGGGATTCCTTCTAGGTTCCTTAAAAAATGGACTATAGTGTAAAAATACAGCTATGGTAACTGTAACAGTCAGAACATCTCTACAAAATTTTCTGGACCATGAACTGACCTTGGAAGACTCAAAATAACAAAGGCAAAAGAGTTGTACCGCTGAAAGTGTTCTGAAAGACCAAAGGAATTCCATCCAGAACAAACTGTCAATTGGCCATTGACACAGATGAGTCGTACTGGATAACTCAACCTAGTGCCATTTTGTCACACTGAATAAGTTTTAGTGCATGGAATAACCTGGAATTATTTAGTCCAGTAAACTGGTGCTTTTCCCCTTAGATTAGGACTGATTATCAGTAGACACCAATAATGTATCTTCATTACTGTGCTGGGCCACCCTCAATCCTAGATCTGGGGCAGACTGCTCTGCAAGTTTCTATTACCTGAATGATCTCTTGATTTCTTTTTTTCAGTATCCATAACCTCATGCTGAGATCCAAATTCCAGTTTTTGAGAGGTAAATCTACCAACCTGAGACTCAACATCTCTCCCAATTATTTGTGCTTAAAATTGAGACTTCTACACAGTGCAACCTAGCAGTCATACATAAATGTTGGAAACAGCTGTGTCAGTGGGATTTTACTTCTCAACGGCTTTTACTTTCCCTTGATCTTCCACTTTTTTGATAGCAGCTTGGATAGCCTCTTGATCACCCAGAAACTGGTGAGGGCCCAGAGGGCGCAGGTTCTCATCAAGTTCAAGAAGTATGGGCACACCAGTGGGGAGAGTAACATTGATGATGTCCTCATCAGAGATGCCTGTCAAACAAAAACAAAAACAGTTACACATAGTGAGCAGCTTCCTAATTGTCTACCTAGCTCAGCCTTATATCTGAGATTATCTGGTCCTAAAACAAAAGACACATTCTGGCCTCCATCAACACTCAATGGTCAATTCCTAGCTAGACGGAGAAGTCCTTGGTCAGGGTAAGTGCTACTTAGCAACAACTAAAACATCAGTGTGTTATCAGCTAAGCAGCCAGTATAAACAGCCTCTTTAAAAAGGCAGGATACCATGGTTAATTTCTCCTCTTAAGTTTTCTATGCAAAGCTTCTCGCACAAGCTGTTTTAAAAATCAGTATTTAATTCTTCTAGTGGAAAGACCCCTGTTTGCCCACATCTGGTTTCTCATAAGCAAGTTTACAGCGTCTTGCATATGGTACTATTCTCAGAATTAATAAGCACAGGCTATTAATTTTCCTCTTCCAAATGAGGGAGAGGGAAACAAAGGAAGGGCAAAACTTACAAAACTTGGAGCCTTTTCCACTTAAAATAATGTACAAATGTGTACCTGGGAAGAAAAATTTATTCTATCCAGCTTTGCTTAATTCAAATACTCTGGGGCTTTAATCTCAATGGCATTGCTGGTTATTCTTACACCAAACATCTCTAAAGCATCCAAGTGAATGTTGAAACCAACTCCCTAGTAAAGCTCCCACACAAGGTCTAAATAGTTGCATTAAGCAGCAGTGTCTGCAAAGACAGTATTCTGCAAAAACTTCAGGCAAAAAAAAAAAGCTAGTGTCATAGGGAAAGGCAATATTCCACCCCACCCCCCTTAGAAGCACTGAGATCACAACAGCAGCAGCCTGCTGCTGTAAAGCAGGACAGCTTCAAGTAATTCATGCTTAGAAAATGCACACAGTCAAGCTTCTAAAACGATGACACCACATAAATGAGACCAAGGTACATGAAGAAAACATCCTCTTGAGCAGCTGACAAAACAGATGGTTCTCAGAACATATGGGTGCAAATTCACCAGCGATTTACACATTAAGCAGAAAAGCAGAGCAAACATACAGGAAAACCCACAGAGTCAAGCCACTCAGCAATAATGGGATGACAACAGGTCAGAAAAACTAGAACTGATAATGAGGTTTATGCCCCTATGCAGAGACTACACAAACACACAACTTCTGCAGTGACCTATTCTTGTTTCAATTAGGTTAAGCACTTGGTTTAGGTTGTAGATGAGCCCCAAGATTCAGAAAGCATGGAGCAAGAGAAACAGACAAACCCTTCCAAGAAGCTTACATCTGGTTACATATTGAGGCACCAGTCCACTAAAAAAAGTCACATTGTCCCAGTTTAAGTAATTCCAATCCCTGTATACAGGGATAAATAATTCATCCATTGCAGGCAGCACAATCAGACCTACAGAACAGCACTTAAGGAGCTTCTAAAAACTTTAAACCACACGGAAATCAAAGGGAAAAAACCTGAGTCCGTTTACCAGGCACAAGCACTATTCTCAAAGACTCTGGTTTGCAAAACAAGTAGCCAAGCTGACCGATCTTATTTCAAGGATTCTTAAACATACTAGATTTTAACAACATACACATATCACCATGTAGCCACAGAGAATCTGGCCCCAGGAAGTGTTCTGCCCACCTCAAATTCAGTCTCCCAGACTAAACCATTCAGATGTACACAGAGCAGATGAAGTCATGCAGGAGAATTTAGGCAAACCACATACTGTGGTCAGGAGCCAGGATATTTAAAGGTTTGCTCTAAAGACAGATTAAACAAAACTAGCTGTAGCTACATGGGTTCAGAAATGCAATTTACTGTTTTTACAGAACACAAAGTGACCACACCGATGTCAACGAGTATTGATTTACAAAGCAGAACAGCACAGTCTAGGATAAACAAGCTGCAGCAAGCATGTTGGCTTTCTCCTCAGGATTTTTCCTTACACAGGAACATTGCCTCACAGCTAGCAGGCTAGAAATGCAGGTTGAAGTCAGATGAAAATTCTAAAGACTTTCTAAAGTATCCTGTTGCAGCACTGTTGCTGTATTTGTATAGCATTTCTGCTCTTCAGGAAGCAAGGAGCCTATCACACAAGCTCTTCAAGTTGCAGGCAAAACACACAGAACCTAACAGGCTACAAGGACAGTAAAGAGATCACATCTTACACCTCAGCCATCACAAACACGAGCAAACTACTATCTAGTTACTTCATGTACTGTAACTATAGCCAAATGACCTTTTCTTGCACTTCATCTGAGCTGGCCTGTGCCACAACCCCACCCTATCTCAGAGGGAAGAAGGGTGAAATCAGGGCAAGGACTCAGCTGCTGACTGTAAGGTGCAATGGGAAGTAAGACTATTGAAAAAGGAACACTCTTCCCTCCAGTATAATACTAAAGCTTGGGTCTCAGCACTGCTGAAAGATACTGTGCTACTGGAAATACTTTAAAACCAAGATTCTACCTACTTAGAACTATGAGATCCCACAGACATCTCTGAAGTACTCAGGATCCCTGATAAAATGCTGACCAGGCAACTCCATTCCTCAAGTGTCTCCCATGTTTTCTCTCAGCAAGCAGCTTGGTACATGAACACTAAGAATTTGGTACAGCACTTAAAGATCTTTCAAAACCACATTCAGAATTCTTTCCCAGTTCAATTATGCTCCATTTAATTGAACTGAGTTATCAAGCACACAGAGCAGTAATATTTCTGTGCAAACTTAAGATTTCACCTTTACCTGGTAGCCCATGAAGTGCTTTGAAATACTTGCCCCCTGGGAGGTCCTACAGAGGCAAACCCCATCAGGCTTGATTTTGATCACTGAGGCCAGCTTTCTACAAGGGCTGGCTCAGCTTCTCCTGCCCTCTCACCTGCTCTTACCAAGTTCCTTCCTCCTATTCTTATGGCCAGAGCAACACAAAAACCACAACAGCTGTTGAGAATAGCTGCACACCTCCTCCCCTGCATCTCAACTACACTTGAGGCCAGATGATTCACCCAACAAAACACAAAAACATATACATAAATTCAGCCACAATGGGCTTGTTCTAGAACTGGTGCTTTGTAATTGCAATCCCAATCAGGTCACCGCATGCTTCCCACAGCCTTAATGAAAATACCAAAGCTTTGGCCTAATAAATTAGATATTCAGGGCCATATTCTGCCCTCTTGGCAGAGACCCTAGTAGGTTACAAGAGAGCAGGCACCTGGCCTTCAATGAAGGTCAGCCAACCATAGTGAGGCACCAAAAGGACTGTGAGGGGGATTATCCCTGACTGGACACAGGTGGCCACCAAGCTCCTCCATCACTCCCCTCCTCAGCAGGACAGATAGGGAGAAAATGAGATGGAAATAACTCATGGGTCAAGATAAGGGCAGTTTTTAACAAAGCACAAGCAAAGGATGGGCACAGAAGCAAAGGAAAACAAAAGATTTATTCTCTACTTCCTATCAGCAGGCAACGTTCAGCTACTTCCAGGAAGTAGGGCTTCAGTATGCATAGCAGTTGCTCCAGAAGACAAATGCTATACGAGACACTGCTGAGAGTGTAAATCTGAAGTATCAGTTTGATACTGCAGGTAAAAGAAAACAATTTCTCCTTCAAAGAACTGAGAAAAATCACCTGAAAATAGATCCTGTGTATCTAGGATGCTTATTCAGCAGATTTTGGCAACTGGTGCTTTCATAATCAATCTGACATTTCAGCATCCAAAGTAAAATTTAATCCAGCAAGTCTGGTATGGTTACTTTAGATACCCTCCTCATCAACATCTTGTTGGCATTGCTTTTTCCAATGCCTCAGAGGTGCTATACCATAACAGAAAAAAATATAGCGTGTCTAAAGACCAGAGTTACAGGTCATAGTCCACACGAATAGGTGTCACAGTTGCTAAGATATGACAAGATACTTCCACTGCAAACACAAGACTGCTGCCTGAAGAAAATGTTAGAGAGCCTTTCCAAGCCTAACAACATATAATGAAAAGTGTCCTCTCACACTGCCAATTTTCAGTTGTGCCAACAATTCCTGGCATTATCACTTATATCACCTGAAGATGATGCAAAGAGTAAGTGTTCTGAAAGGACTAGGCAAGCTTAATTCGATGCCAACATTGTTTCTTCGTCAGGACTACACAGAACAGCCACACTTGGCCTTGGTGGCAATTATCAAATGCATAGGGATTACCTAGAAGGAAAACAGCCCAGCAGCCCCCCCAGACACCAACAGCTCACAGCACTGACATCTTCAGCAGCACCCTCTAGGAAAAATGTCACTTAACCCACCAAGAGAGAAGAACAAGCTCCCAGAGAGGCTGCTGTTTCTGATCTCCAAGTGCATACAAGAGTATGGTCCAGTTTGCACTAAGTACTGTTTTCAGAAAGACTATGGGGTTTCACTTCAGTGCTCATGTGCAAACATGACAAATACTACAGACATTTCATATAATGAACACTCTGGGCACTGAGAAAATGAGAACAAAATCTAAACCTACAGTCAAAGTCTTGTTAGCTCGATATTGTTGGTTTGATGATTTTTCTGTGCAAGTTAGAAAGTAGATCTCCATTTCAAGATCTTTACCAGTTACTTAACAATGAAAGTGTTCAGATGCAGAGAACTGCAGGCCTGTTTAAAAAAAAATACCCCCCCTAAATGTTAACTTCAAGGATACTCTGAAGTCTTTCAGAAAAGACATGAAATTTCAAACTGAAACAATGATAATTGTTTCACCAGATCAAACTGATTGAAAACATTCATATTTACTGCCATTTAAAGTTTCTGAGCTACATCTTCCAAGAGTTATCACCATGATTAAGACATTAAAGCAACTATGTAGGACTGCTGCTTGAGGCATTTGGAGCCCCATTTTCTGAAAGCCAAAAAACATGGCTCCAGCTAATACAGAGGTGCCTAGAAACTTCCACTCAAGTGCAAGACACACCAAGCTTTACAAAGTCCAGGAAAACAAAGCCCACCTCACAGTGGGTGCTATAAATACAGTAGCTGACAAACTAAGTGCTGTTGAATCTGGTCCAACACGAGGAGGGCCCCAGAGCAGCTCACAACTCACCACCTTTCAGAAGAGAAAGGGACAGAGTGTCAATAACACAGACAAAGAACCTCCTAGATACAACTAGATAAAGGCTGGAGCTCTTTAGAAGAAAATGAGCAGGTTGCAATAACAGGAGTATTAAAAGCTCTGTTCCTGTAAACCTTCAGGCCAGCTCTGCAGCAATACAGCTGTCCACTGCACGAAGGGCAGGAAAGCCAGTATGTATGTGGCAATTACTCCTGTGTGGGAGCTGGGTTAGCTGATGGACAATCCTCAGCAAAAAGAATTAGATCCTCTGCAAAGGATTCCTCACATTCCCCTACATAAGCACATGCTGGGAGGGCAAGGTATAGCATAGGACAGACAAGAGACACAGCTCTATTCTACTCTGGTTGAGTGTGGGTAGCCCTTGAGGAGTTACACCTGATTGTTCCAAAGAAAAACTTTGCAGCTGCTCTAACTTATACTGCTCTCCGATCTCAACACAGCACGGAATCCAGCCATGCTAACTTTAAAGTAACCTTTACAAGTGACTGATGCTGTTGGCTCTAGCCTTGGTGCATGCCTGTGCAGAAGGTGGCCCCCAGTTTCTGCTGAAGCTGAGGTCAGCTTGCAGCATTCTACCCCGAAAGGACTTGGCCAGCATGGTTGCATGGACACGGTTCAGTTCTTGAGGGGGAGAGCAAGGGAGTCACCATGGTTGCAGATCTCCCTGTTCCTTTTTCCTTTATCATTTCACAGTGTGGACAACCACCCTGACCAAATCAGCAGAACTGCCTGAACCAGCCTTCCTCCTTCAACTGAGCAGTACTCCAGAACTCATGGACTCTATAGTTCCAGAAGCCTAGGGAAAAAGCCAGTTTTTCTCTAGGCTTCTGACTCCTGCTAAAGCATCAGCTATCCTGACTGTTCTGGTACACCTGGATGCAAAATGTGCTCAGCAGAGTCACAGCTATAGGAGCACACACCAGAGGGTTTTATACTAAAAACTTAAGTAAACACAATACAGTGTATGCATATGTGCAACTACAACTCTAGTAGGCTGCATTCATACATGTATAATCACTAAATAGTACTCTACCCACAGACAAATTTATACAGTCCATCTTCCAGTTTGGGATGACCTATACTAGAAGCCATATCATTAAAGAGGTGGGGAAAGAATACAGCAATGACTTAAAGGTAAACCACATCCTTTTCAAGCCCAATTAAGCAACCTTATGGTAAACTACCAACTTAGCTGTTTATTGGTATGCATTATCTACATTGGGAAATAATACAGTGTTTGCATAAAGTTTAGCAAGTGCCTACTCTCTGCAGCACTCCCTGTCACAGCTGCTTTTTAAAGTAAAGAACTATCAGGAATGAAGCCTCAAAAGTGACCCACCACAGCAACAGCCAAGAACCTTTCACAACCCAACACAAGCATTTTTCTGATGTTATAGCAATGCTTTTTTAATGAACAGATTACAACTGCAACCCTTCTGGTAAAGCAGCTGAATAAATCCAAAAATAGTCAGAGCCTGAAGAGTTTTGTCTATCTAGACCAACCACAAAGTTAGTTTGACTACAGTAGTTTAAAATGAGTAGTGAGAAACAAGGCAAAAGCACCAAGCTCTGCTCTTAACTACATTAACCTAATCAATTATTTCCCCTCTTCCACACATCCCAGTTTGATTCCTGTTCCAAAAGGCCATCTTTTTTGCTTTCTCCTTGGAGACCACAGACATTGTGCTACATTGCCCAGAGCACTAATACATACTACAAAACAAGATGTAAAGCTCTAAGCAGCTGAGTAAATAGGAAAGGGGAAGGCTGAAAGGAAGACCCTTACCTTCCACGTGCTTCAGCAACGCCCTGCTGCTGTTACCATGAGCAGAGATAAGAATCATTTTGCCACTTTTCAGTTCTGGCACTATCTTTTCATTCCAATAGGGAAGGAGTCTATCAAGCACATCTTTAAGGCTTTCAGCCTTTGGGAGACTATCCTGAGAGACATCACTGCACTTATACCGGCGATCATTGTATATCTCTTCATAGAACGGATGAGATTCGGTGATGGGAGGGGGGGTAACATCATAGCTTCTCCTCCATATTTTCACTTGCTCCTCCCCATGATTCAGAGCCATTTCTGCTCTGTTCAGACCAATCAGTGCACCATAGTGACGTTCATTCAGGCGCCAGGAACTCTGCAGGGGGACCCACTCTTGGCCCATCTCTTCCAGGATAAGCCATGCAGTCTGGATGGAGCGGCTGAGTACAGAGGTGAAGACCAGGTCGAACTCAAAGCCCAGCGCTTTAAGGTGTTTTCCACAGTTCTGAGCTTCCTTTATCCCATCACTGCTCAGCTTCTGGTCCACCCAGCTGCAGAAGCGATTCTCCTTGTTCCAGGCTCCTTCACCATGTCTTAAGAGAACAAGCCTGTACTTAGCCATGTTGATTGCAGCTTAGCACAGACGACAACTGGTTTGGTATCTAATAATGATGCATCTGGACAGAAACATATGAGAAAGATTCATCAAATATCCCACAGGCCATGCATTACAATTAGTAACATGGCAGCAAAAAGTAGTCAACTATCAAAACAACTGAACAAACAAGTGTCTGTTGAGTATGTTTTTTACCTTTGAGGTCTCCTGGCTTTGAATTCCTTCCCAACTTCATGAAGGAGGAAAATCACCACCCTCCACCCAGCTTGTTGCAACTACCCCACTTAACCAATTGATTAGTTGCACATTTGTACAGGCTGTTCCTGCCTACAGATTTTCTTCCATGCTTAAAACAGAGCCTCACTGAATATCAGAGGCTCCCTACCAGAGAAGCAGATCTCACTCTCACTGGTGAGCTTAGAGGTGAGACAAAGAGTCCAAGCTCCTCAGGGCTGCCCAGGCCCACACTGGCTCTGAAGGAATGCATATTTGCTGTCCTCATTAAATAACAGCTGTATATTCATAAGGTCAAACAGCACCTTTCTCTGCTCCTGTTAACTAACCACCACCATCTGTGGATTGTCTTCAATGGGAGACAGATTTTAAAGGTCCATCGGACACAGTACTGCAACTCTAAAAGCCCCATCTGATCATTCTAATCTGTCACAGACTAGACAGCAATGGACGAGGGTAGAACACAGTAATACAACTCTCTGCACTGGGAACAGTACTGTATACTAAATGTATATGAACATTAAGCACTTCCAAAACCATGGACGGGGGAGACTGAGGTCTGACTTCTGCACAATCATCTTTGGACTAGATTCCATAAGAAACATGCTTATGGGAGCTCCCATGATCTCCAATCAGTCCGAGCTGCTTCAATCACACTCCAAGTGTCTCAAATTCACATGCATTGTGACCATAAATTAGGTGAGTAGGATGGCTTCAGCCTGTGCACATTGGGTTTTGGGAACCCAGCACAATATCAGCATTAATTTTTACCAGACTTTCAAGAAGTGTATAGAAAAGTTGAATTCCTAAACAGTTTCAGTAATTTGATATTGACTGTAAAGGCAGCTTAGTTCTCCTTCACTCCCACAGGAGTCAGTCTCATCACACAAAGACGCAATACAGCACCTCCCCAGCTCTAACTTCTGTCTACTGGTACAGCTCAGGCTTAAAAAGCCTTTGAGGACTGAGATTTTCACAGAAATACCAGGAGGTATTGTCTGACACACAAGAGACAGTTGGTAAATACAAAAGAAAGTCTTCTGTGATTTCATGCCAAGGTGGCCTGAATTATGTATGTTACAAGGAGCATCTCAGACAAAATGCCTTGCATGTTCCAGTCACGATAATGAGTTGCACAATAAGCAAAGAAATCAACTATTGTCAGGATTCAGGTGTCATGTCACATCAGATACAATTCTAAACTACAGCCCTTAAAATCCCAGGTTCATAACAAAAAAAGCAGTATCAGATGGCATTGCCATCTAAAGCCAAAGTAATCTTTCCCCAGCATCCCATACATCGGATTAAAGACTGCAGTGTTCACAGCATGAACTACTACACAAAACATAGCTCCATAAAAAGCTCTATCTTTGCAAACACCTCACTGTTCAGATTGATTGTATTGGCCACAGGAACAGTGGATAAAAGTGGACTGCATAATTTACAAATCCAAATTAAGGCTGAATACAAAAAGTAAGACCAAACAATAGAGAAGATGCAGCAGTTCACGCAAGTTCTTAGCTGGGTACTTTTGGACAAAAGCAATAAAAAAACCCTCATTGAAGTAAAAAAAAAAAAAGCCACCAAAAGATACAAAGATCAAAGACCATCTGGAGACCATAAACTCCAGTTTCCAGTTCAGTCATATAAAAGATTAGGCAGTATCACCATTCCCTTGTACTGGTGAGGCTGCACCTCAAATCCTATGTTCAGTTCTGGGCCCCTCACTACAAGAGAGACATTGAGGTGCTGGAGTGGGTCCAGAAAAGGGCAACGGGGCTGGTGAAGGGCCTGGAGCACAAGTGTGATGAGAAATGGCTGAGAGAACTGGGGGTGTTTAGTCTGGAGAAGAGAAGGCTCAGGGGGGACCTTATCGCTCTCTATCCGAAAGGAGGCTGTAGCAAGGTGGGGGTCAGTCTCCTCTGCCAAGTAACAGGACAAGAGGAAACAGCCTCAAGCTGTGCCAGAGGTGGTTTAGATTGGGTATTAGGAAACATTTCTTCAGGCAAAGGGTTGATCAGGCATCGGCACAGGCTGCCCAGGGAAGCGGTGGAAGCATCATCCCTAGAAGCATTCAAAACCCATGTAGATGAGGCCCTCGGTGACGTGTTTTAGTGGTGGTCTTGGCAGTCCTGGGGTAACAGTTGGACTTGATGAGCTTAAAGGTCTTTTCCAATCTAGCTGATTCTATGACTCTCAAACAAATTTAGAAAGGACTGGCAATCACAAGGCTGTTTAAGTATCGGTCCACTTATGGAAGCATTTAAGCTAGAAAGCCTTAGCGCAACACATGGAAATAATCCTACTCACCTTTCTTATGGCAAAGGAACAACCTACACAAATCCCACCAGAGACTGAAAAGCTGCTTTATACAGAGGCCAACACACACTCTTGGCTAAGTTACCTGCAGGAAGAGAATAAACACCAAGTGCTCACACAGAAAAAGACCACAAGTGCAAACAGTTATGCCAACCATCATTTCTCTCAGAGCTGTAAGAAAATCGAGCACACACCCCTTGTATGAGCTGGGAAAGCTACCAACTGCCTTCTCCCAAAAAGATGTGAACGCACTGCTCCTGCATTTCCAACAAGGGAAAGTTGCTTGTCTCCCAGATGCCCCAGGATATTATCTGCTCCCCAAGACTTGTTTAGACTGCAATTACCACAGCTCTAGCACATAGAAATCTATGAAAATGTCTGGGACACCACGGAGGATACAGACAGCAGACCTGGACTCACCACAGAAGTACGGAGTCCTAGCTCAGCACAGAACAAGGTGCCCAGGATAACACCTTACACCTGCAGAGCTTGTGCAAAGCACAGCTTTAAGGTCTAAGTGCCGTGGCAGTCACTCCTAGGACTCCTCGCTCCAACCAGCACAAGCTCACCTGTCCCTGTGCGGTGCCTCTGTGTCCAGCCTTCCCTAGGAAGGGAGAGGCTGACCCAGACGCAGGGCACCAACTCTCATACACACACCCGAGGCTGCCCAAGAGCGGGACGGCCACTCACGCACACAAACACTCAACATGAGGTACTCTACAGCTACTGTCCCCTCATGAAGCGGCACCCGCCCTCCCCGCAAGGGACACACACACCC